GGCAAAATTGATCTCCGGTGACTCTGTTGTTTTATAAAATAAGAAGTCTATTGTTTTATAAAATAAATAGCTTTTTTTTTCAGGCCAAAGTGTAGTGAAATCAGAGCTCTGTCTCAGGAACTGTTCAAGGAACTGTGGACCTGCGCATATACCAGTGAGCTGAGCCACCTCCCAAAGCCACAATGCCAACCTGACTTCAAAATGCACTCTATAGCATTCCAAAAGATTGTTCTTTAAAACTATTTTAGCCGTGGCTGGTGTGGCTCAGTGGATTGAGTGCCAGCCTGAGAACCAAAGGGTCGCCGATTCTGTTCCCAGTCAGGACATATGCCTGGGTTGTGGACCAGGCCCCCAGTAGGGGGTGCAAGAAAGGCAACCACACATTGATGTTTCTTTCTCTTTCTCCCTCCCTTTCCCTCTCTCTACAAATAAATAAATAAAATCTTTAAAACTATTTTGTAGAGTACCCTTAGAACTGCGATTCTTAATCTTTTTCATCTGATGGCACATATAAACTAATTACTAAGATTCTGTGGCACACCAAAAAATGTATTTTTGCTGATCTGACCAAAAAAAAAACCCGTATAATTTTGACTCATTCACACTGGAAAGCTATTGTTGTGTTGGCTGTTGTCATCATTTTTTTATTTTTAAAAAATCCTTACTCAAGGACATTTTTTTTTCATTGCTTTTAGAGAGAGAGGAAGGGAGAGTAATATTGATGCGAGAGAGAAGCATCAATTGGTTGCCTCCCATATGTACCCAGAGCAGGAATAGATCCCACAATCTTTTGGTTATGGGACGACACTCCAACCAATTGAGCCACACTGGCCAGGGTGTCTGTTGTCATTTTTTTATTTGACAATCTGAGGGAAAAGAGGTCAGTGCTCCTGACTCAAAAGTCAGCTATTGCATGTTTTAAAAAATGTTTATTTATTGATATTGAACATGAGAGAGAGAGAGAGAAAGAGAAAGAAAGAGAGAGAGAAACCTCGATTTGTTATTTCATTTATTGAGGCATTCATTAGTTGATTCTTGTATGTGCTCTGACTGGGGATCAAACTCCCATCCTTGGGGTATCAAGATGATGCTGTAATCAAATGAGCTACCTGGCCAGGGATATTGCATGTTTTAAAAATTCTTGTGGTACACGGTGTACCTCTTGCAGCATACTGGTGTGCCATGGCACTGTGGTTGAAAACCTCTGCCTTGGACTATAAATTCCAAGAGGGTAGGAACTCTTGCAGTCTAATTAATCTCTGATGGTATCTAAAACCATATGTGGCATAGTAAATATTTAATGAATGAAAAATATATTTATCTGTAATTCAGACATTCTGTAGCCACACTGAATTTTCTCTTCCCTATTTCCATCTTTTAGTTTTCTGAACTATGACAAAAAGGGAAAATATAACATTTTGTTGAGTGCCAATGTGTCAGTGATTATGAGGAATAGGTATACATATACATATACAAACAATTATAGATCCAGATATAGATGTAGTTACAGATATGATAGATACAGATAATGACAGTAGATATTGGCATAATTATAGATATAGAAATTATACTTATAAAGACAGATATACATGTAGATAAAGATAGACATTTAAGTATAGGTATCTCTGACTTTTAGTCTTCTTAACACACAGTGAAATTAGGTTCTTAACTTATTAATGCAGAAGTTGGACATTGTGGGTGCTCATGTTCAGGAGTTTATCCCTGTCCCTTTTCATTAGATTCTAATTGCAAATATCAAGCAGCCATTTCTTTTTTTTGAAGCTTAATTATTCAATGAGAGTTTCCCCAGAGAGAGTGTTTAGCTCCCATATCTGGAGTACTCATCTGTGCTGAGTCTGTGCTTTTGTACTTTATACAGGATGTCTCTTATTTATTCACTACCACATTAGGAAACAGATGTTGCCAATATATCCACAGTTTAGAGAGAGGTTAAAAAACTTGCCTATGCCCTGGCCACGTGGCTAAGTTGGTTGGAGCGTTGTACACCAAAGTTCTCAGGCTCGATCCCCAGCTGGGGTGGGTACGGGAGGCAACCAATCAATGTTTCTATCTCACATCGATGTTCCTTTCTCTCTCTGTCTCCCTGTCCCCCATCCTTGATCTAAAATCAACAAATTATCCTTGGAGGAGGCGGGAGAACAAGAAGGGAAGAGAGAGAGACAGAGATAGAAGGGAAGAAGGGAATTTGTTTGGCTCCTAAGGGCATGCCCTCAGCTACCACAAGTTGGGAGCTTGTGGTGTTTGGCACACCCATATGATGAAGATTAAATTAGAATTTCAAACACATTTATAAGATAGTGCTGAAGTAATTTCTTTTTGATTTGATTAAAAGAAGTGTATTAGTCTTCTTGGGTTGCCAGAACAAAATACCACAAACTGGGGGGCTTAAACATCAGAAATTTATTTTCTCACAGTGCTGGAGGCAAGAAGTCTGAGATCAAAGTGTCAGCAGGGTTCGTCTCTCCTGAGGTTTAGCCTCTTGGCTGTCTTTGTGTTCACATAACATTCTCTGTGTGTGTGTGTCTGTGTGCTAATCTCTTCTCATAAGGACAACATATTGGATTATGGTCCATCTAATGACCTCAGTTTAACTTAATTACCTCTTTAAAATTCTTCCTCCAAATACAGTCTCATTCTGAAGTACTGGGGGATAGGACTTGAACGAATAGATTTTGAGGGGATACAGTTTAGCCCATAATAAAGGCTTAATTAATTTCCTTGTTATTCCTCTCACTTTGGTTTTGGTCTTCAGCCACTTATTGAGGGGTTGTTTGAACTGCCCTTTGAAAGGAAGCTGGGTCATTTACACACCTGGGTCTAAAAATAGACCCCCAAGGATATGTTTAATGATGAGGGAAGGGGAAAGAGAGAGAGAAACATTGATGTGAGAAACATTGATTGGTTGCCTCCTGTACATGCCCTGACTGGGCATCAAACCCAGAACCTAGGTATGTGCCCTGACTGGGAATTGAAACCACAACCTTGTGGTGTATGAGATGATGTTCCAACCAACTAAACCACCTGGCCAGGGAGAGTCTGGTATTGCTGCTCTAAACCAGTTCTTGCCTGTGGAGGAAATAATAGCAGGGAGGGGAGGCTTCTAGAATCAGTTCAGCTAATAAACTTGCCTTGCAACTTTGGAGAAATTCCCACCTCTCTTGGGATGTTGGCCTGGATCAGGGTTTTAAGCTTAAATGTCCACAGAAGCTGAACAGGTGCAGTAAGTGGAGAAGCAGGGAGCGGTGACAAAATAAGGAGTGGTGGGAACCCTGAAAAGTTGGAGAACAGCCCACTTGAATGAAGCAGATAATTTTTCCTTCAAAGACTAAGGGACAAAGGATATACATCTGAAGGCCAGATTTGGACCAGCTGATATCTCAGGACCTTTCTTTCCCAATGATTCTCTGGCCAAACAATAGATGGCACTGTTGATTGACAGGCACTAAAAAGGAAGGGACATATTGTAGTTTATGTGGCCTAAAGACGCATGCTGACAAGCAAACTCAAGTGGTGATTTTTTTTTTTTTTTTTTGTATTTCTATCCTTGCTTCTGTCGACAGAAGCCAATTTTGTATTCAGCTGTGGCTTTCCTACTGGGAATGTGAAGCAGGGTTCTGAGGACAGCATCAAAATTAATTGAGGTTAGGTTATTAGTGGTCAAAATGGCCTGAAAATAAATTAAGTCAAGTTTTATTCGTCTGTTCTATGGGTCTCTTGTCAAACAGTATTATTTTATTGCTGAAACTGAGGGACAAGAAACTTAACTGTTTGCAGTAATAAACTGCTTGAACCTCAAAGCTGTTTGTGACGCATCTTCCTCATAGTCAACATCCTGATGGAAAGATAATTCTAGCTTAAGCCAATTTTTACATTCAAACTTCAAGAAGGACCCTAATAAATGAGGGTTTTGCTCCTATTTTGTGGGCACACTTGTTGGGATCTGGAGTGGCAAAGAAGTTTCACGGGTCAAGTCTGATGGATTATTGGTAATAGCTGCCCGGAAAGCTGTCCTGGGGAAAACCCTGAGGCCGGGCCCCAGTCCAATAGGGAAGGTGCTATGATATCAGCCTCATCTGACCTGAGTGTGGTGGTGCATATTTGGCAATATCCTTATAGTCTCAAGTGACTGAAACATAATCTCAGGCAGGAAAAATTGTTGACTCGCAGAACCCAGAGCAGAATATTAACAAGAGAGGTAGAGATGCAGATGAGCTTTAGGAACAATATGCACCAGCAGCACAAATGCCTCTGAGGAACTCTCTGCCCTTTAGTTCTACATCTTTGCACATCAGTTTTCTCCTCTCATGCAGAGCAGTTATCCTCACATGACAGTTCCTCAGATGCACTTCATGCCTTCCATCAGAGAGACTGCCTTTACACTCTTTGGTAACAAGCGCACACACATGCTCGCGCACACACACAAATTTGGGAGAGGAATTATAAATAGCCAGGTCTGGATTAAAAAATTGTAAGGAATGATTGCTCAACCCTAGACCAATCAACATGGGCAGGGGCTGGAACCATGTAAAAATATAACAGCTTTCATGATAACTACACAGCTGGGTTCAGCAGGAAGAGAGGTCTCCAGAGCAAGGCTAGCATGGAGTATAAGACTGTCAAATGGTGAGTTTCTACCACAAAGGGACTGGTCACATGGCTGACGACTGAGCTTTAATCCCAGAGAGTGAAAGAGAAGAAGACCCTCAGGAACGTGCACCAACCTCAGCTAGTAGCCATAATCCCTCCCCATAATTCTCTACCTTGTGGTTACTGAGCTGGGAAGGGAAATCCTAAATCCTAAGTCAATAAGTTGTGCCTTCCAAATACTGGTCAGCTGAAACAAAGCTCTAGCCATTAACCAGAAATGTGCCTTCATCTCAGGGGGGAAGTCCTGCTCCATGACCAACTTATTAGCCGTCTCTTCCCAAGGCAGGTGGCGACCTGAGAATTCCATGCCTGCTTCCTGAAGACTGCTCCCAATGCAGTGGTTGATGAGGTTCTGGGTCCTTTGGGGTCCCTTCAAATCCTACCATGTCTTCCACCCTGCTCCTCGCTCCTTGTGCTACCAATCTTTATCAGCAACTCGAGCCCTGAGGTGGAATGACTATGATACACCAGAGGAATTTAATTTTGCAAGAGATGTACTAGACTACTGGACTCAAACGGAAAAGGTGAGGAGGCACCTGTGTTGGGGGGATGGGGGTGGGTGAGGACAGGAGTGGCCTCCCTGGCTTATTGTGCTCCTAGCAGGCTGAAGGCCACAGAACAAATACAGCTTCTGTCTTAGCTCACCAGTGTCATGGGAAAAGCTTATGTTTTGGGTTCTATTCTCAGCCTGGCCACTTCTTCACTTCTCCGAGCCTCAGTGGTTTTATCTATGAAATGGGGATAATCTCATTTAAGAAAGAAGGTAGGAGGTAAAAGTATCTGGTACACAGTCAAATACTTGTGACCAACTGCAAAGATATAATCACAAGGTCAGCAAGTTGCTACTAATCTGAATTGTGACCTTCAACTAATGGGACTGTAAGTCTAACTGGAATTCATCACATCAAACTTGGATCTAACCTCAGGCTAAACCCAGAGGGAAGGGACAGACTACCTGATTGTGCATGTAAGCATCTGACACAGAGCTTAGTCATGTCATCAATCTTCCTATGAGGACAGCAAGTCCAGCTGAATCCTCCCTATCAACTACTGACTTGGGTGTGGCATTTGAGCATGTCCAGAGAAACCAGTCCCTGTAGTCCCTGAAAAACATGGCTTTTCAGGAAAACCCAAGGGCTTGGTTCCCCGCCCCTCGCAATAGACCAAAAGAGGAGCAGTGATGACACCAGGTGTTGGGTAGGCAATGGGTGGTATTCCAGCTACTAAGTGTCAGCTGATGATGTTCACAATGTGAAAAGTTACCCAACATTATCTTTGTACAAAGAGAGAATTCACCTGTGATGGAGTCAGGGAATTGGCAGAATTTTTCAGTTTCCTATGAACATGCATTCATATGTGAATATTCAAGGTTTATATGCCTTTCATGGGAGCTTTCTCCTACCTCTTTCTTTTTCCTTTCTCTGAATTCTCATAATAACTCCAAGGAAAATAGAGCTTTTGGTTATGAAGAACATTCTTTATATGCTATGTCAAGCACTTTGCATTTAATGGTCTGATTAGATGGGCACTATTATTTGCATTTCCCAGATGAGAAAACTGAGGTTCCAAGAGTTTTAAATAACCTACAGAAATTCCATACCTAATCAGTAAAGATGGAGGATTTGTGTGGGTCCAGGCTGTCTAATTCTGAAATCCATTATTTAACCTGGTTCACAGTCTGATGATGCCAAACCATCTCTTCCCTCAGACTATGAATTGACCTTAATTACTCCCCTGATCAAAAATCTGATAAAGACCTTTTGCACCATGAGATGGCTTCATATCTTACCTCCTACAACTTTAAATTTCAAATCCAGTTTAAGGATTGTTTTACCTTCTCAAAAACAGCTATATGTCAATATCATATTATCAGATTAATTCTTAGAACAAAAATCCATAAGCACTTGAGTGATGTCTTCTTCATGGTGCAAGAATTAAGGCTTAAAATACTATCTGAATTCTGAGCAACAATTGTTTTCTACCTTGCTATGCCAGCTTTTCCATTATTTTTAAAACTCCTACAGAAATATTACATACTATACTCTCCTTATATAAGCAGTGCACTACTTATCATAAATACTTGTTAAAATTCTTTAATCTGTTGTGCAAGAAGTTTTTTCATAGCACTGATTTTTTTATAGACATAAAGACATATGTATATGCACATAAATTAATCTTATCTCAGGGGAGATACACTCTTTTGTTCCAGTCATCTGTGTCAAAAGTAGTAGGATCATGTTTGTGTATCTGTGGGAAAAAAATTGCTGGAAAAATATACACTAAACCATTTTCAGTGCTAATGTTCAGGGAGTAAAACTGTGATAAGAAGTCTGAAGGAACTCTGTTGCTTATAAGAACCTTTTCTGCTCATGTTTCTGCATTGCCTGACTCTTTCCTCTGAACATGTTTTATTTGGGGAATTAAAAAGGTATTTAAAAAAAAAGTCATGCTCATTCTAGAAAACTCAGGGGATATAAGACAGGTGATTTAAATGAGAAAATGAAAATTGGCCATAAATATTTAAAGCCATTTACATATGTGTGTATATATGTGTCTTGTTTACCATTGTATCCTTTTGGTCTAAGAACAGTGCCTAAGAAATCAAGAACTTAGTAATATTGAATTAACAAGTGAATAATTATTTTTGTTTACTTATTTTATTTTTTTTTGTTATTCTATTACAGTTGTCCCATTTCCCGCCACTCCCCATCCCCCCTTGCTCTCCTCCACACAGCCCACCCGCCCAGCTCCCAGTCAATCTCCATTGTTGTCCATGTCCATGGGTCATTCATACATGTTCTTTGACTAGTTCCTTGTCCTTCTTTCCACAACTATCCTCCTCCGCCATCCCCTAAGTGGATAATTATTATTAAATTTGGATCATAATATAACTATGGTTTTGGTTTTATAAATTGATACTACCTTGTTAACATTTTATTGCAAAGAATCTGAATTTTTATTGGTTTTATTATATTCTATAATTTTGTAGAAAAACATAGTTGGACTTTTTTTTTTTAATTCATTCTGCCAATCTCTGTCTTTTGATTGGGGAATTTAGTTCACTTACATTTAAAATAATAACTGATAGGAAAGGACTTACTATTGCCATTTTGTTAGTTGTTTTCTTGATGTCATAGCTTTTATTTCGTCCCTCATTTGCTCTGTTTACATCTTTCTTTTGTGTTTAGTTGATTTTTTTTTTTTTGGAGTGACATTTTTATTTTCTTCTAATTTCCTTCTGTGTATATTGTATATTGTATATATTACATACAATATCTTAAAGTGAAAACAATCTATTTTTAACTAATAACAATGTAACTTTAATTGCATATGAAAACCTCATTCCTTTCTAGGGACATCTTACTCCCATTGAGAGTTGCAAACAAGTTTCACTCTTTTCCTTCTGTCCAAAGGAGGGACTGGGAGTTGGGGGACTTTCTCCCAACCATGCAGCACCACGTCAGAGAAGGGGTGGTGCAAAAATGAGCAAAAACATCACAAAATGTCCTCCTGTTCAGAGTATGGCTTTAATTATTTGGGTATTTGTTGGTTGCTGCAAATTCTTGACTGTTTCAAGAGCTCCCAAAAAGCTATTTTAGCCTGTTGTTTACTTGATGTTTCTCTGAAGGAATGGGGGACCTAGAGCTTCCCAGTCTGCTGCTTGTGATTTTCACCTTTAGAGGTAACTTAATTTTAAAAATAAATTCCCCCAAATATTCAGAACCTAAATCAGCCTCTTTTATTGTGTAACAATTGTAATAATAGGAGTATTTATTGAGTACCCACTTGTGGCAGGCACTGTTATATACACTTTACTCATTTAAATAATTCAGTTAGACTTGACTACCTTCTATGTAATATTACTGTTCCCACTTCATAGATGAGAAAACTGAGGCACAAGGAGGAACCCACTGTCTGTATAGTACTAAAGCAGACACAAGGGGGAATGGGGCTTTAAGTCTTAAAATCTTAAGGCAATTCATGGTTTTGTTACCGAACAAAAGGACCCGTGGCGGCGGGGCGGAGGAGGGTGGTGCCCAGATAGTTATTACCGAAACGACACCCTCCTTCCCTGGGACCCCTGGGTTGTGGGTCCTTTGCCCGCCGCCCTTGGAATGATGGCTCTGAATGGCAGAGTTTGGTGAAAAGCAAAGGAACTATTTATTCAAAAGTTATACAGATTTGATTAATGGCTAAATGTCACCCTTAAACCTCAAAATCCCTTCGAAACAATCACCAGCACACACACCATCCTGCCTTCCCCCCTTTGCCCAGTCAGGCCAGTCAGGCCAGTCAGGCCAGTCAGGGGTACCGTCCTTCAGAAGAAAAAAGGAACAGAAGTCCGGGGCTCAGCTAGGCAGACCTCTCGCGTGTCTCGGCACCATCTGCTGCGTCGCCGCGATCTCCAGCTCTTAATCCATAACCATGTGGCACTTTCTCCTGGCCCACTGGCAAGAGTCCTTTCTCCCCTCTTTCTTCCTGCGTGGTCTTCACACTGTTCTCCGGAGTCTGTGTCCCTTTGTCTCTCCTGCGGGCCCCTGTCTCTCCTCCCTCTCTCCCAGTTACATTCCGTATATAGTCTTTTAAACCTTTCTGATTAGCTTTGGTGATATGCAAAATAACCCTCTTTGCAAATGAGGAATGAAGCTATTATGTTATTGACACACAAAATGACTCTCAATGGCTCTGCTCAAGGCTCCCATCCCCCATGGCAGCCTGCCCTGGGGTGGGGAGAATATATTTTTCTTGGACACCCTAATCTCCGGACCCCATTACAAATACACTTTGTGAGGGGTGGGGGGGGGGGCCTGACTGTGCCCCGTTACAGTTTTACATGATTTAACAGGAGGTGGCTACAGCAAACCAGAAGAAGCTGGCTGGATCACATCCCACCCCTGACTTCCCTTGGCACTTTAAGTGATTTAAAATGGGGTCATAGTCCCTGAGCTATGTTCACAGTGGAATGTGACGATGACAGTGGATTGAGGAAAAAAGTGCCCTTTTCCTTTGAAGCAGGAAGTAACACGTGCTATGTGATCTTCACCTGGAAGGCAAACTAGGCCCAAACCCAGCCCTGTGGTGGGTGAATGACAAAGGAGAAGAAGTGAAGTGGAGTTTCAGAGAGGTGACAGACTTAACCTGTCGTGTAGCCATGCCTTCCCACAGACCTGTAACCCGCAGCAGGGAGAACGGCCAGCCTTGATTCTGCCTGAGTGCCTGAGTGGTGGCCGGTGGCCCTGGGCTGCATCCGAACAGGTCAGTGACTCAAAGAGACCTCTAGAGACCACTGGGCCATGAGGAATGTCCCAGAGCCAATTGGTCCTGGAATATTAGGTACTTTCTCTTCCCCTTCATTCTTTCTTGTTCACAGTCTTTTTCTCAGACTCCTTCAAATATTTTTTTACTCCTTCTCACTCACTCTCTGTCTCACACTCACATATGCTCAAAGGCAATGCCATAGTTCTCTTTCACACACACACACACACACACACACACACACACACCCCTTTCTCTTGCACAGTCTCAGACATTATTACTTTTTAAGATTCATCAATTGTTAACCTGAAGCCATATTTGAGCCCACCCACTGAGTGACACCTATAAATACCTATAGACGCTGGATCCCAGACATTTCCTTCACATAACCACAAGAGACTTATCACACAAGAAGTCTGATATTGATACAATACAGTGACCTGATATATATCCATAGTCAAAATTCCTCAATTGTCTTAATAATGTCCTCGAAAGCCATTTCTTTAAGTCCAAAATCCAACTGAGGATCATGCATTGCATTTACTTGTCATGTCTTCTCGGTCTTATTTAATCTAGAATGGTTCCCTAGCCTTTTCTGCATGACAGTGACATTTTTGAGGTGTCTAAGCCAGTTGCTTTGTGGAAGATCCATACAAATTTGTATTTCTGACTCTTGTTTTAGGATTATATTCATGTTAAATGTTTTTAGCAGGAGTACTGAGAAGACAGGGTTGTGTCTTTTTCAGTGCATCACATTAGGGGGTATATAAAGTTTTTGGTACTTTCATCAGTGATACTGTCTTATCTCAATAGAAAGGTGATAGTTATCTTTGTAAAGGCATCTTTCCCCTTCATAATTAGTAAGTAGTAGTCTGTGGTGTAATACTTATGAGACTGAGTGAATATCCTGTTCTCCTACTGTCTTTCACCCTGTAGTTTGAGTATCCACTGATGGTTCTTGACTGAATTGAATCTTATTATGGTGGTTTTATATGAGGATTTTAGTTTATATCACCCCGTCTACATTTATCAGCATTCTTCTGTAGAGATCTATCTATCTAATGTAGAATCAGTATGGGACCCATGGATTCTTTTTTGAATCACTTCAGTTGAAGCATTTGTTGCTGGAGGTTCACACAACAATCTGTTCATGCTCTTGGTTATATACTTTCTCTCTCCCACACATGCACAAATAAAATAGTCGGTCAATCCATCAAGGTCACATGGAATCAAAAATGAACAGCAACAGCTCTTGCTGGTGTGGCTTAGTGGGTTGAGCATCTGCCTACGAACCTAAGGGTCACTGGTTCAATTTCTGATCAGGGCACATGCCTGGGTTGCCGGCCAGATCTGGTTGGGGTTGTGCAGAAGGCAACCAGTTGATGTTTCTCTCCATTGATGTTTCTCTCCCTCTTTCTCCCTCTCTTCCCCTATCTAAAAATAAATAAATAATTTATTTAAAAAAGTTAACAGCAACAGCAGAGGGAATATAAAGAATCCATGTTATCTGAAGAGCTAAGAGATGGCCCATGAGAAATCTTAAGACATGAGCTGAGCCCTCTGGGATAAGCACTATTAAAAAGGAGTAGAAGCAAAAGAAGGAAATTCCAAGAATAGGCAGAGCATATACAAAGCCTTCGAGTCAGGAGTAGCCTTTGTGAAGAATGGCCTTTTTGAAATAGAAAATAAAGTTGTGGGAGAGAAAGGTGGAGAGTGAGTGCCATCTTCAGTGTCAGAATGGGGAGTGTGATATTTTCCTGGAGAGGGCACAGGTGTTAGTGAAGACAAGAAATGTGAAGGAGGTAAGTCGATGCTCTGTGGAACTTAGCAGGAAATAATATGGAAGATTCAGGGCAAGACATCTGGTGGAGAAATTAGAATCTAATAGGTGCACACAAAGGCTTGAACTAATTGTTGGTGATAGAGGAAAGAAGGGAAGGTAGGAAAGTTCAAGGGACAATGCATTTACATTTAGATAGAAGAATGAAGAAAAGAGGGAAGATTCACAATGACACCGGGACTGACAGAAGGAAGTGGGAGGAGAAAAGTAGGGGCAGGAATGCAGCTAGTCCTGATGTCAGAGACATTGCCCTAATTGCATCTATATTCTCAGATCCCATGTAAATTTGTGCAAAGTAGGGTCCACCTATCTACTGGCTGCATCCACCTTGAGTAGAAAAGTCTAGGGCAACATTTTCAAATTTTACTGTGCATGGGAATCAATTGGAGAGCTCATTGAAATGCAGATTTTCATTCCGTAGGGTTGGGATGGGGCTGGGATTTCATATCCTAGGTGGTGCTGATGCTGCTGGTCTGCATAACAAGAGGTTAGGGGATTTCTATGCAGATAAACCAGGCCTGAAGTCCTGGCTGTGAAACAGAAAATGGAACAAATATCTCCTTTCTCATCCCCAGGGATTATCTTCTTGCCAAGGACAGTCCAGATGAAGGCCAATGACATTCTCTATCGACTAACCATGTCTGATGCCAAGGGGTGGACTTGCCCCAGAAGTGGACTCTGTGGCTTCCAAGCGTCCCGTGCTGAAGATCAAGCTCCTGGTCTCTAATCACAGCTGTAAAGGGTGGCTGGACTTACGGCCCCTGATTAAGTGAGTTTCCAGTCTGATAAATGCGCTTGCTCCCTGAGGAATGGTGGAAGAAGGCCATCTACTCCCCAGCACTGGTGGACAAACAGCTGGTGGTAGGAGACTCACCAGGTCTGACTTCAGAAAACTCTTCCCGGCTATGTCACTGACTCATTGTGTGACCCTGGACTAGTTACTTTCCCTCTCTTAGCCAAATCCGCTTTATATGTAATATAAGGACATTACACTTCTATGATTCTCTCACTAAAGTATAGTCACCCTTGAGACTGTGCAAAGGAGATGGGGAAAGTCAGAAGATTACTGTGTTTCAAACTTCTTGTAGGTGTGGGAAATCTAAAATATTATATTTATATAAACACATATATGAATAAGTTGAATGAGAGATTAAAAATGAAATTTTAAGGTAAAACTTGCAAGAAAAATTGAGGCTGTGGCTGGCAGGGAGTTCTGGGAGCAAACCTCTTGCAGGTGCCATTAGGGACACCTTGCAAGAAAAGTTAGGGACGTGTCGGAGGTCAAAAAGATCCCACCTCCAAAACTCATTCTGTAAACCTTCAGGCATTTTTTGTATCACACACACTGTTGATGCAGGAAACATCCAAACCTGTATAGAAGTTTTATAAGAGTTTTTATGAGCCAAACTGATCACATATGTCAGGGAGCAAGATCTCAAATGCTGCAGAGTGTCAGTTTTGCAGCTTCTTCTATGCATTTGAAATTAAGGAGGGAATTTAAAGAGTACAGGGAGGTGGGAGCAAGCAAGGTACAGGAGAGTTAAGATTATATGCTGTCTTGAGGGTTAATACCCCCTTCAGGGGGTATTATTTTCCGTATTTCAAGGGTGTGTTAACTGAGATGCACAAGAATAATGGACTGGGCTGGTTTAAAACCTTTTACTGAAGAAGTGATATGACTCACTGTGACCTGCGCAGTCAGGAATTTAGGACCATCACCCTGTGAGGTTAGTTCCATAGAACCCCATTTATCCATCTGCAACACAAACCATGCTGTGTTTATTTTCTTTCTCTCTCACTTTTTTATTTCATTGAGGTTATACTGGTTTATAACATTATAGAATTTTCACTGGGTCTGTCCTCTTAAAGTAACCCTTCCATTTTAAAATAAAAAGTTACCTCAACCTCAAAAGGTAAACACTACAGCAAAGTCATATCTTATGCTAGATTCTAAGGTCAGAGGGTTAGCGCTCTCCCTCTCGGGAGCACACCTGTGTCTTTCCGGTCCCCTTCCCCCCAGGTGTGTTACCTTCGTCTTTCTCCTAAGTTCCGAGGGCCCTTCTTCTGCCTCTATAGCTTGTTTCCTGGGCCTATGCAGCTAGCTGGCTCACTTCTGCTATGTCTGTAACTTTCTACATAAACTTTCTCTTATAACTTGAAAAACAGGTTTTTAAAAACTTGGATAATTAAATTTAAAAAGATTAAATAAACAATACTGTTTAAAAATCCCTTAAATTGCCCAGAGCCAGGAAGGTAGCACTTCTCAGCAAGAGCCAGTGTTTCCTCCAGCATTTGGATTTTCTGCCAGTAGTTTATTTGAACACCGTAGGAAGCTGACACTGCCAGTCATCATAGGCCCAGGAGACCCTGAAGTCTAGAAGCTCCCAAGGACCAAGACTGACTGAGGGAACTGCAGGTTTCATCTGCGGTCTCAAGCTTACACCAGGGCAGATGTACACGTATATTTCTCACTCTCCTTCCCTTTCTTTCCCTACCTCTCATCACCAAGATTACAGTGTTAAATTTCTGTAAATTTACCTTGTGTGAAAAACAAGCTCAGCAGTGTGATTAAGAGTACATTCTATGGATCAACCTAGGTTTGAACACTGGCTCTGCCACTTGTTGGCTGTATGTATTCAGGCAAGTTACCTAACCTCTCTGGGTCCCTGTTTCATCATTTGCAAAGGGGCCAAGACAAAGTGGGCATTCTCACTTCTTAGGATTGCTCTGAAGATTGAATGAGTTCTTATTTGTATATCATTTAGAGCAGCAGTCCCCAACCTTTTTGATACCAGGGACAGGTTTTGTGCAAGACAATTTTTCCACAGTTGGGGGTGGGGGTGGCTTTATAGCCTGCCACCAGATGCAGCTTAATTGTCACTTGTCTTTCACTGATAGGGTTTTGATACGAGTCTGCAAGCAATTGACTTATTACGGTCTCTGTGCAGTCAAACCTTTCTGCTAATGACAATCTGCATTGGCAGCCGCTCCCCGGGCTAGCATCACCGCCCCCCCTCCACCTCAAGTCATCAGGCATTTGATTCTCAGAAGGAGCAGCACCTAGATCCCTCACAAGCACGCAGCTCAAAGTAGGGTTTGCGCTCCTTTGAGAATCTAATGCCACCTGCTGATCTGACTGAAGGCAGAGCTCAGGCGGTAATGCCTAACGAGTGGGGAGCGGCTGTATATACAGATGAAGCTTCAGCCTGCTCGCCTGCTGCTCACCTCCTGCTGTGCAGCCTGGTTCCTAACAGTCTGTGACCTGGTGTTGGGAACCCCTGATTTAGAGCATTTTCTGAAACAAAGTAAGTTCTATTTCAGTGTTTGTTAAATTAAAACATAATCTGCTGTGTTTTCTTCATTTTTTAAATGAAAAAATGTCAACCCTCTTACCTGAATCACCATATACTCTTGTTTGATGCCTCTGAATTTTTCCTTCAGTGTTGCAAAACCCCAATTTTCTGCTCTGGACAGATACTCAGTTGATTAGAACTTTGTGTGGATACATCAAAGTTGTGGGTTTGACCCCGATCAGAACACGTACAAGAATCAACCAAGGAATGCATAAATAAGTGGAACAACAAATAGATGTTTCTCTCTTTCCCTTTCCCTTCCTCTCTTTCTAAAATTAAAAACAAAAACAAAAACAAAATGCCAGTTTTCTGACCTTGAGCCTCATGTTGCTTCTTTTGCTTACTTTGAGGTTTGGATCCAAGAACCATGACTTCTCTCCTTTTCCATTGAATCCCTTTGCAGATCAGCATCCCCAGATCACACCTGTATTAAGTCAAAGACCACGGCCCCAGTGATAATCTTCTTTACCAGTGGGACCACACGCCTCCCCAAGATGGTGAAACACAGCCATGGGCTTGCCTTACGATCCGCCTTGCCCGCATGGTAGGAAAGAAGTCACCAACCGAGAGGCTGGGTCACAATTTGTGGCAGGGGTTTTGTGTGTGTGTGTGTGTGTGTGTGTGTGTGTGTGTGTGTGTGTGTGTGTGTAAGGGTGTTCTAAATAGAACTGGGTCCATCCTGCTTCTCCCTCCTGCTCTCTTTGGTTCAGACCACTTAGGAGTCCAAAGGCCTGGACTCCTAAGTGTTTGTTGACAGAACCCTTCAAATGGCAAAGGAGGTCTTGCCTGAGCACCTTTACAGAAGGTGTGGAGGAAATGTGGGTGGAGGCAGCAGGCATTCTGCAAGCCACACAAATGACAAGCCATTTTGTCTTTTTCACTGGTTCCAGGATTTGGTGGGGGGAAGACAGAATGTTCTAGCACTGTGAGCAGAGGTAACAGGTCCTCTTTTCTCCCTCATTATGAGCCAATCAGACTTGGAGTTTCCCCAACATGAGCTGTCAGGAGAAGTAATACCTGGAATCAGACCACTGTGTTTAACCTAAAATAAATAATTGTAGAGGCTGAAGCTACTGCCTTGGGTTAATCATGTAGTCAATTTTAAACCAAACCTCTTCTCCTTCTTACCTCCTCCTCCCCTAATTAGTAACATCCAGACAAGAGCAAGTTCTATACATTTTCTATCTTGTCAACTAGACCAGAGGGCAGAGGAGGTGCCTTGTAGACACTGGGTATCTGTGCCAACAATAGCACTTGAACAGGAGACCCCTGGAGGAATGGGAGTGGAAAGGGAGGGTTTTCTGTTTAGTCAGAATAATACAGGCAAAGGCACAAAGACATAAATTTAGCATTCATAACTACAGGGATTTGAGAAGAACTGCTGCTCGGAGTGCCAGGTGAGGGAAGCTCCAAACAGGCAGAGCTGAGAAAGTGAATGGGGCCCAGATTATACAGGGTTGCACGGGCTTTGGTGTAGAGATTGGAGTTTATTGAGAAAACAATAGGAAGATACTGAAAGGTTTTTGAAAGGAAGAGACCTGATCAGATTTGTATTTTGAAAAGATCGCTGGATCTTTCCAAGGGAGGAGATGGAGAATGGGTTGAAATAAACAGATTGAGAAAGACCAATTAGAGGGTCTTAGAGTAAGTTAGGTGCCAGATGGTGGTGGCTTAGAAAAGGTGCTGAGGGCATGAAGGAAGTTAACACGTTTGAGATTTTAGGAGACAGAAAGGGCAGGGTGTGCTGGCTAGATGTGGAAGATAGGAGCGGGAGAGCCAAGGTGGACTTCCAGGTTTCAGGCTTGGACAGTAGTTGTATTCACTGAAATACAGAGAACACTGGAGAAGAATTAGTCCAGGGAGGCAAGAGAGATTCCAAATCAGATACTCCATGGATAATTGGGTCCAAAGCTCAGAACAAAGGTTCCCCTAGTTAGTAATTTCCAGTGGGTGTGCCACAGCCCTAAGAGAGACCTAATGAGGGAGTGTGAATGGCTCTCCAGGCCCCTCCCAACTAAGAGAAAGGCTCCTTGAAGCCAAAGCTGGCTAATGGGAGAGTTGTTTTCCTCAAGGAGTTATGCACGTAGAGGTCCCTCAGAAGCAGTAAGAATAGGGTAGAGAAATGCTTCAGACATAGCTGAATAGCCTCTGGATTTGAGTTTTCTTCTCTCCAGCTACCAGATGTTTCTGTTATGTTTTGATGCTATTCTCAGAAACGTTCATTCTTTATGATCCACCAATGGCTACCAACATTGCCCAAGACTATACTAGTAACAGATTCAAATCCAGGAAAAGAGCAACAGATTTCATCCAATATTCCCAGCTTTAAGGATCATTATGATTGAACCAGTTGAAGTTGCATGTGATGAGGAAACACGATTTGGCATACCTTTGGGACCTGGGGTGGGAGTGAGTCTGGAGCCCCCCACAAACCACATGAATGGAGGGGGGGCACTCTCTGAGAACCAAATCCCCCAGCCCTTGATCATGTCCTCCCATGGTTACAAAGCTGAGGCCACTGTATTTTGGAGTTAGCAGGAAATTCCTGCAGCTGAAGACACATGATGTCTCCTGGTGCCTATCAGATCCAGGCTGGATTCTGTTTACCTTTGGGTCCTCGTTGGAACCATGGACGGCAGGGGCTACAATCTTTATCCATCATCTGTCCCAGTTTGACCCTAAGGTCATTGTACAGGTAAGATGGCTAATATTTCAGTATCAACAGACTCCCAGAAAAACTCACATTTCAACCTCAAAAGCTGGACCCTGTTGAAAAATAGTTTATGTAACAAAGAAGCCCATTAGTTAATATAACCCAGGTTCTGGGTTTCTCAAACTGTGAGGTGCTGGATCAGTCATTGTATCAGAATCACCTGAAATAAACATTTTGAGAAATTAAAGCAACCAGAACAAGCTCAGGTCTCATGGCTCCTCCAGAGCCAGGCAGCTGCTGCTGCTGCTGCTCTGTGTGTGTGTGTGTGTGTGTGTGTGTGTGTGTGTGTGTGTGAATTAATGAAGTGTTTAAAAGTGGTACCCCTGGAATATGGTGGTCCTAGTTTCTTCTCACACATTGCACATTTATTAGTGGTCTAATTACCTCTCTGAGCCTTAGTCTCCTCATCTGTAAGATGGGAGTTTTAATAGTTACTACCTCATAAAAATGTTGGGAATATTGAGATGATACAGGTAAAGTGTGTAAAGTGCTTAGCCCTGTGGCCTGTACCTAAAAACACTCAGTAACTGGTAGCAGTTACTGTTGTTGCTGTGCGTATATCATGGTGACAACTGAAGTTGCCTGCATCAACCCCTTCAAATTATTTCCCTGCACATGAAAACGCTTGTTTGTATCTCCACTCACCACAGCGTTGCTTTGCTTCATCTGACCTGCCTCTCTGCTTTTTAAAGTGGGAGGCCCTTCTCACACCACTGTGGGTCCTGTTCTTTCCCAGGCCCTTCTATTGGAGACCCGCTCTACTCATCTTTAATCCCATACATCTTCTCTTCTGTATTATCAGTCTCTCACTTTTCATCAACTCTACTCTCTCAGTCTATAAACACATTCATATTCAATATACGTTGACTGGAGGAATTAACAAATTCATAAATGGGCTCTCCTAGAGGGGAGATCAGAATTAAAATTCTAATAATTGGTCAATTTAAAAAATCTTAACTATAAAAATAAATATTTTTCTCTCCTCACTTTGTAGACATTCTTCAAATACCCCATCACTCACTACTTTTCTGCGACCTCTGTATAGTGAATGATTCTCCAAGGACTCCCTTCCTTCTATGCTATTATGGTTTCTTATGGTGTTTGGAATACCTGGCAACCTTATTGAACCAGGCAGGACTGCTGGGTTAGTAGGTGAAACATATCTCCCTTCTCCTCACTGCCTTACTTTACTATCTATCCTACTTAACAAAAAGAAAGGAGAAAGAGAGGATGAGAAACATTGATGTGAGACAGAAACTTAGACTGGTTGCTTCTTGTACACACTCTGACCAGCCACCGAACCTGCAACCCAGGCATGTGCCCTTACTGGGAATTGAACTGGTGACTTTTCACTTTGTGGGACAACACCCAACCAACTGAGCCACAATAGTCAAGAGGGACATTTGAGTAGTTTTTATTTGAGGGCTATGAATGATTAATCCTGCATTAAATTCTTGCAGATTTTCCTTAGTGCATATAACCACACATTTATGTAGCATTTTTCTAGGAAAGTAATTGCTAGGTCACACTCACACTGCATCTTACCACACTATTTTCCAAAGTATTGAGTGAATTTATGCTCTCACTAACAGGTTAGAAGCATTTCCATTGTTCCACATCTTTGGCAATATTTGTTCTTGTCAAAGTTTTTAATTTTTGCCAATCTGATGGTCTGATGGATGCATACTGTTATTGTACTATAGTTTTATTTTTACATTTCTCCATGTTTGTAGATTAATTTTTAGCTAAATTGCAATCTTGTTTTTGAACCTAATGGGTATATGTGTATATTTTAGAGACTTTAAAATGGAAATGGCTGCTTCAAAAATCAGAGCTAACAAGTATTAGACATAGAGTTAAAATATCAAGGAGTTCAATAACTACCCTTACAAAGCTAACTCTGAAATACAACTTGACTTTATTCACGAAGCCTCCATCTGGCTGGATTCTGTCTCTATCTGTATTTCAAAGCTCATATGACAGCCACATTTTGCAACATTCCTAGATAATAAATTTTGTCCAAATCCAGTAAAAATATGGCAGGGCATAACTAATGACTCCACTGGAGACTCTACTCACTTTATCTCCTTTGGAGAAAGCTCCAGATGAATGAGGAAAACACCTTTAACAAAGCCAGCTCCTGTCCATCACTCCTGACTCTGTGAGTACCAGGAGAGGGTGACAGGATGGAGAGGTGAACCAGGTGCCTGCAACTTCCCTCATCCCCAAGAGCTGGCCCGACTCTGCTCTTTGCCCACTGGTACTCAGACTTCAGTCACTTCTCCCCATTTCCTTCAGGGAATCCATCATGATTTTAGGATTGTTTTCATATTATTTATGGGGAAAATGGAGGAGAAGATCTACAACACACAATGTACCTAGTACAGTACACAATATACCTACCATAGTACACATTCACAGCAGACTTTTCTGTTACTTCCAAAATCCCTTCTCTCAGGGCTGTTACCTGTGACCCCTGTTCTCTTTTCCAACACTCAGCCAATCTTCCTTGATGTCCTGAGCAATTTATTTCCAACCCCTAACTTGCATTCTCCACTCAGTTCACATAACCCACTCTCCATAGAAGGCAGGAAGTAGTCTGATTACCATCCCAGCACGTCCTTGGAGTCCTATCCTCTACCACTTTACAGTTTATAAAAATGTCTCTCTTACCACATAAATTGCTTCCCTCAGAGGGGGTCTGATAAACATGTTTTTACCCTTTTGTTACATCAATGTCTAAATTTAATTTGATCCCTGACTGAACCCATTAGCCTCATCACCACACCACCCCCTGCCTGAAGAAGAGTTAATAGGGACTGACAGTAATTGGCTTCCACCTGAGAGGCAAGTAAGAAAGCAGAAGGATGAATGATCCAGATGATAATGCTGTGAGCTCTTAGCTCCTGGGCCTAGGTCAGAGCATCCAGGCCCTGATCAGAAGCTCTGTTGACACCTTGTCTCCCCCTAGCCTCAGGTTCCCCACCCTGGAGCACTGCTGTTCTGGTGGGGAGCCCCTGCTGCCTGAGGAGCAAGAGAAGTGGAGACAAGAGACAGGACTTCTGATCCATGAGGCCTACAGACAGTCAGAAACGGTAAGTAGGTGGTCCCCTCTGGGCAAGTCAGGATGTGTTGAGCCACCGAGCCCAACTGATGAGCTGAATCGTACCACGAGTGTGGGCAAAGGCTCTACTGTGCACACAGCAAGCAGATGGGAGGCTCCAGAGTTCTAGGCTAATTTTCCCCAATTCATTTTGCAGGAAGACAACTCACATACAGCTCATTGACTTGTCAAGACACCAATGTGCTGAAAACTATTGAATGAAAACATAAAAATGTCTAAGGACATGATGCTATGTCACTGTGATCAGGAAGTCTGTGGGAGGGGCAATAGAAATGGGGGTGACTACCTGCAACGTGGAGGCCCCCACCTGCAAGTCCTGCCCATGTCACCATCCCTCCTTGAGTAGCAACCACAGGACCAGGCAGGAGCTGGCCCCAAGAGTTCATGTCTGGGTGTCTATGATGGCAGCACACAGGTTTGATTGTGGGGCACTAACAGGAGTGGAGGAGGGAGCAGAGACATCTCTCTCTCTTACACACACACACACACACACACACACACACACACACACACACACCGTGTCCCTTAGCAGGCAGGTGGGCAGGGAATTCAGAATATCATGCCTGTCTGGAACCTCAAGGACTTCATCAGTGATAGTCTGAGGGGCTACCTCTCTTCCAACGCATTCTCAATCCATTTTTGATGCTGGACAGTGCCTCTTTCCCCAGCTTCCCCATCATCCTTTTAGCTGACAGAATAGGCTGCCATCTCAGGACCTGTAGCAAAATATCTGTTTTAGTCCTAGTTCATATATTTGTTTGACTTTTCCCCCCAAAACAATTTATTTAAATCAGTTAAGTGGTCTCCTTCTAAGACTGAGAAATGTTAAGACTCTAGGCCTACACTTGCGTAGCTCACAGTTTATTTTTGGACAAGGAGAACCACACACTACACCCATAACCCCAGTCCCTATGCATCAACTATTTGAAACAACAGAATATCCCCTTATCCTTGCACGGTGCTTTATTTCTCAAAGCACTTTCAAAGCTACTCACTCACCTGTGAACATTTTCCACGTGCCTGAAGTGTGAGCAGCAATGTGGCAGAGGGAAGATCTTCCTATCCCAGGAGCTCAGGCCTCAGTTCCAGTCTCAGCATTGCCAATGACAGGCTTTAAGACCATTGGCATACCATGGAACCTTCTAGAAGCTCAACTTCCCTACCTCCAAAATGGGAAGTAGAATGTTGGTATTGCGGGTTGTGACAAGGGGAATGAAAGGAAGTGTGTAAAGCTCCAGCCACAGTGCCCAGCCCTGCACATGTCCACATTGCAGGCACTGTGGTCCTCACTGGATGTAGAGAGGTAGTGTGCCAGGTGTCAGGAGTACAAAGACAAATGGACCATCTCTGTCCTCAGGGTGCTTGTTATCTACCGAGGGAAACAGGCACACAAACATCAGTATAATACCCTATTGGTGAAAATAGAAATGTGAGGAAAATACTACAGAAGAAGGGCCTCCCAGCTGACTTCTCGTGGGGCCTGGGTTTCAGCTGGCTGACCTAAGCAGCTACTTGAACTCACTTGGTGTGTGTGGGCACCGAGCAGTTTCCAACACTCACAAGCCCTCTGAGCAGGGTGTGCCATAATTGTCCCTCTTTAACAGAGGAGATCAAAGGGCATTCGCTGGTCAAGATTCAAACTCTGGTTTGTCTGACTGTAAAGCAGTTAGCTTTAGAAAGAATGGTATTCCAGAGAACCATGACGGAGGCATAGGTACATCAGGAGGTCAGATGGGAATAGAGCAGTGGTAGCAAGAGGAACAATCTAAGTAATTTCAACACAGCCCTGAGAAGCAGTTGAGGCAGGCTTCTTATTACTGTTTAACAGTCCTGAGTAAATATTTGTCATATGGACTCATGACCTTCCCCTACCAAATGGACACACACCTGGCATACAGTGGTCACTACACTACCCATAACGCAAGCCCACAGCCCTGAGATCAGGCCTTTGATTAAAAAAAAATTTTAGAGAGAGAGGAAAGGAGAGAGAGAAACATCGCTTTGTTGTTCTACTCATTTTTGCTTTCATTGATGGATTCTTGTATGTGTCCTGACCGGAGATCAAACCCACGACACTGGAGTACCTTTGTTTCTTTCTTGGCCTCCCCAACTGGACCCTGTAGCCCCAGTAGCCAGGACTGGCCTAGCAGTGTTGGGCACAGTGAATGTCTGGTCAAGAGCTGGGTCAATGCCTTGAGCCTATACTCCCGAACTTCTAGCTTCCCACAGGGCTCTATGAGAAGCATCAGATGACATCTGTGAGCAGGGATGCTGTGTATGATTCTTGCTGCTTTGTGATCAGCCTGGACCCTTTGACAACCAGTGTTCTCTTTCTTTTATGCAAAGGGACTAAGTTGTGGCACTCTCCGGGGAATGAAGCTTAAGCCCGGTTCCATGGGGGAAAACATCCCACCCTTTGACATCCAGGCCTGGTCCTAAAGGGATGGTCAGGGAGCATTGAGGGCTCAGCTGGGACTGGACACTTGTGTGATACCAGGCAGCAGAAGCAGCCATGCCCCCTGCCCCAGCTGTCCTTCTTCCTCTCCTCCTAGTTTTCCCCTGATTTCCTGGAGCAGTTTCGGTATTGTGGGCATCCATGCAGCTCTCCATGACAGCCAGAGGCCTCGCACACAGTGCATGGCAAACATTAACTGGGAAGAGCACTGGCAGCTCTGTCCACCACCTGGTGCTTTTAACTTTTCCTGGTCCATATTTTCTAGCTTGAAGACACATTCGTGATGTCCATATATCATGAAACAAATAGACCCATGATATGCTGATTTCAAAGGCTTGACAGTTTTATTCCATTTTCTGATAGGGATCCTCCCCAATAATCCTCACTGGTGTCACATGAATAAAGTAGGCAGTGTTTGAGTGGGGCAGGAGTTTTGGGGAGAACTGCAGGGTGAGATTCACAGACCTCTTGCTCCAGATCATCGATGACAAGGGCAACATCCAGCCACCCAACACCGAAGGCAACATTGGCATCAGGATCAAGCCCACCAAGCCCATTGGCCTGTTCATGTGCCATGAGGTAAGGACACTCCATCTGCCCCTCTCTGGCCTGAGAATCCCGGTAGTGATAAGGGAGTGGACTCAATTCTATATGCTGAGACTTCTTCATATCTCCATTTATTTGCTCCATTTCAATGAAGCCTATCCTAATTAATCGCAAAGCTCACAGTGTGTTCTTACATCCTTTCCTGTCCTAACCCATCTGGCACTGATTGGGGAGAAAGAAGCCTGGCTTCAGAATCATCTAACTTAGGAGAGAGGGACTCCAGACTCTGGATCTAAGGGTCATTGTCTGAGGGCCAGCTGAGGAGAGAGCTTGGACTCTGATCCCGCAGAGCCCATCCCAGAGTTGTCACAGATGGGAGGAAATAATAAATCGTTCCAGAAACTTCTCTGCCTGCCAGGAGAGGGGGTGGCTCTTCCCTTTAGCAGAGAAGGCCCCAAGCCCCTATTTCCAAAGGCTTTTATTGAAAGGGTTATCAATGGGGCTAGGTAATAAGAATGTACAGGTGATCTCATTATATCAGTATGTTAATGTTCACAGAGAATAGATGTTTTGAAGAAAACAAATGGCAGGGACACACTGATTTACATGGGTCTGAGAGGAGACGAGTAAACATGAGAGCATAAACATAAGAGCACCAAGGGGTTCAGGGTCAGGGTCTGTGAATAATGTAAATTTCCTTCCCAGCACGAGCTGATTATCATAACTTTTGAGGGAAAACCAAAGCATGCTTCAAGGAATTTACATCTAGGCCTGATTTCCCCAGGAACTGCCAGACCCAGGTTAGGGCTGTCTCCAGTATCGTTTCAACCCGAGCCAGGTGGGGGGATGGCAAGGCAGCCAGGAAATAAGGAGACTTCTTTCAGATAGAATGAAACAACAGAATATCCCCTTGTCCTTGCATGGAAGACCCTGGCCATATCAAAGCCAAGTGGTGAGGGTTTTTTTGTCCTTTCTCCGTGTCCCCCAAGTATTTTCCCTGATGCCTATTGCGGCTGTGCCTGTCTTAAGTTACCCTTCCATCAAGGAGTCTTACACATCATTGACTAACCAGCCATCCTTCAGGGCCAAGCAGGGTAATGTAAGGGGAGAGCAGGGTGAAACAGGTTTGCCTCCTCAGTGGCCTGTTTTCCCAAGGCCTACTTGATTAGCTCCAACCTTGGGGCCCTCTTGCCTGTTGGCGGGGATACCATTCCTGAAACCAGACAGGGTGTTTCCCAGCACCTGGGGGCCAGTGACCTCCTGTGGTTAATAATGCAGGCTTTGGGTTTCTGACCAAGATGGAGGCATAAGTAAACATGCTTCATATCCTCACACAATGCAAAAAGAAATTAGAGCTAGACTACAAAACAAATATCACCCAGAGCCATCAGAAAATTGAGCTGTATGGAAGTCCGACAACTAAGGATTTAAAGATGCCACAGTTATCCAGGTAGGTAGGAGAAGTGGAGATGTGAAGAGGAGTGGAGAGGAACGGAGCCACTGAGTAGCATGGAGACATGGTAGAACGGGCAGTCCCACATTCACATATAGTGGACAAAAATTGGGAGGGATACCTTGGGAGTGAGGGATCCCAGCCCCAAACCAGACCACCCAGCACTGCAGGGTTCTAGTACCAAGGAGATAAATTCCCATAACTCTTGGCTGTAATGGCCAGTGGGAGTTGGGGCAGCAGAAGAAACTGCTGGATTATCAGAAGACTCCTCTTAAAGGGACAGCACAGACTTAGGACTTACACAGACCCATCCTCTCTGGGATTCAGCACCAGGGCAACAGCTGGAAAGGCACAAGTGGCATACAGCTGGAAACAGGGTGAGTGCTCTCACAGAGTGAGAGCTTCCTCCAAGAAAAACCTCCAGAAGCCAGGCAGCAGCACTGTCCCTTCTCCAAGACCTCCCCCCATGCAGAGCCACAAAGCAGTGAAACGGGTTACTTCCCACCCCCGGCAATCTCCTAAGGCTCCACCTCACACAATATACAGGTGCCTTTCTACAATAGGCCACACAACAAAGGCAGGGAGTCAAAGCATCTCTACCTAATACACAGAAACAGACACAGGGAGGCTGCCAAATTGAGGAGACAAAGAAATAGGGTCCAATTGAAAGAATAGAACAAAACTCCAGAAAAAGAATTAAACAAAATGGAGGTAACAAACCTATCATATGCAGAGTTCAAACACTGGTGATCAGGATGCTCAAAGAACTCATTCAGTAAGGCAACAGCATAAAAAAGACCCAGGAAGAAATGAAGGTTACATTAAGTGAGATAAAGAAAAATCTACAGGAAACCAACAGTGGAGGAGATGAAGCCAATAATCAAATTAATGATTTGGAACATAAGGAATAAAAAAGCATTCAATCAGAACAGCAAGAAAAAAAAAAGAATGTTAAAAAACCCCATCAAAAACAGAGATAGAATCATGCATACAGAGGGTTTTAATGGTTTTCAGATGGGAGGGGGTGGTGGGGAAATGGGTGAAGAAGTGAGGTAATTAAGAAGTACAAATAGGTAGTTACAGAATAGCCATGGGGATGTAAAGTACAGCATAGGAAATGGAGTAGCCAAAGAACTTACATGCATGACCCATGGATAAGAACAATGATGTGGGGATGGCCTGAGGAAGTAGGGGGTGCTGAGTGGAAGGGGGCAAAGGGAGAAAAATCAGGACAACTGTAATAGCATAATTAATAAAATATGTTAAGAAATGAGGATAGACTAAGAAGCCTGTGGGACATCTCCAAACGTGCCAAGATCTGAGTCATAGAGATGCCAGAAGGAGAAGAGGAAGAGCAAGACATTGAAAACATATTTGAAAAATGTTTCAGTAGAAAGAAAACTTCTCTAATTTTGTGAAATAAATAGACATGTAAGTCCAGGAAGCACAGAGTCCCAAACAAGTTGGACCCAAATAAGACCACACCAAGACACATCATAGTTAAAATGCCAAAAGTTAAAGATAAAGAGAGAATCTTAAAAGCAGCAAGAGAAAAATAGAGTTACCTACAAAGGAGTTCTCAAGATACTGTTAGGTGATTTCTCAAAAGAAACATTGAAGGCTAGAAGGGACTGGCAAAAAATATTCAAAGTTATGAAAAGCAAGGATCTTCAACCTAGATTACTCTTTCCAGCAAAGCTATCATTTAGAATGGAAGGACAGATAAAGTGCTTCCCAGACAAGGTCAAGCTAAAGGAGTTCATCATTACCAAGCCATTATTATCCAAAATGTGAAAGGGACCAATTTAAGAAAAAGAAGATCAAAACTATGAACACTAAAATGGCAACAAATTCACAACTAATAACTGAACCTAAAAAAAACAAATCAAGCAAACAACAAGAACAGGAACGGAACCATAGATACAGAGAGATCACTTGGAGGGTTGTCAGCTGGGAAGGAGAAGGGGGAGAATAGGGGCAAAGGTGCAGGGACTTAGAAGCATAAATAGACGGGGTGGTGGTGGTGGAGGTGGTGTTAGGAATAGTATAGGAAATGGAAAGGCCAAAGGACCTTTATGCATGACCCATGGACATGAACTAAGGAGGGATTGCTGTAGGGAATAGGGGTACTGGGTGGATAGGGGCAAAAGGGGAAAAATTGGGACAACCGTAATAATATAATCAATGAAATATATTTAAAAATAATAATAAAAAAAGAAAAGACAGAGGTCATTCCACTCTAGTCTCCCAACAACTTTGGCCATAAATTTTAGGCAGTCTAACTTGGACATCTTCCATTATATGAAACTAATGCTCTTGACTCTTTAGACAAATGACATTGTCAACCTTGAGGCAAGTGGCTCAAAGTAGTATGCATAACTACATCCATACCCAGAGATTGTAAGATAGAAGGAATGAAGTTTAGGGTAAAGCCCTAATAAATCTTGTACTTTTGTATCCCTATATTCCTTCTCATTGTAATTAAACATATCAGATCAAAATCTGTCCTAAGAATAGCATATCCTCAAATAGCTCAACTTTTCAGAATTGGGAAAGAGCGTGAGCAAAGACGTCAAACAATGTTGGCTTTTTTTATTTTACTGTCTTTTTTTTTTTTAATTGTTCAAATACATTTGTCTCCATTGAGACACCATGTTCCCTGGCACTTCCTTCCTCTGCCCACCCATCCCCACCACCCACCCTCAATCTTTCCCCACTTTGGCTTTGTCCATGGGTCCTTTATACATATTCCTTGACCTGGCCCTTCCCCTTCTTTTCCCCATTACCATCCTCCCTCTTTCTCTCTCGTTACTGTCGGTTTGTTTTTTTCTTTCAATGTTGCTGGTTATATTTTTCTTGCTTGTTTGTTTTGTTGATTAGGTTCCACTTATAGGTGAGCTCATATGGTATTTGTCTTTCACCCCCTGGCTTATTTCACTTAGTATAATGCTCTCCAGTTCTCTCCATGTTGTCACAAAGGATAGGAGTTCCTTCTTTTTTTCTGCTGTGTAGTATTCCACTGCGTAAATGTACCACAGTTTTTTGATCCACTCATTTATTGATGGGCACTTAAGTTGCTTCCAATACTTGGCTATTGTAAACTGTGCTGCTAGGAACACTGGGGTTCATAGGTTTTTTTGGATTGTTGTTTTGGGATTCTTAGGGTATAATCTCAACAGTGGAATTGCTGGGTCAAAAGACAGTTCCATTTTGAGCTTTTTGAGGAAATTCCAAACTATTTTCCACAGTGGCTGCACCAGTCTGCCTTCCCACCAACAATTTACTAGGGTTCCCTTTTCTCCACAACCTCGCCAGCACTTGTCATTTGTTGATTTGTTTATGATGGCCATTCTTACCAGTGTGAAGTGGTATCTCATTGTGGTTTTAATTTGCATTTCTCTGAAGGCTAGTGATGCTGAGTATCCTTTCATATGTCTCTGGGCCCTGTGTATGTCCTCCTGGAGAAGTGTCTGTTCAGGTCCTTTGCCCATTTTTTAATTGGATTTTTGTCTTCCTGGAGTGTAATCTTGTGAGTTCTTTATATATTTCGGAGATCAAACCCTTGTCCAAGGTATTGTTA